TCTGGAGGACTTAGCGCATGAGTTCTGAGAGAAAAAAGTATACCGATATATACAACTCGACGAGGGCTACAAAACTAGCATGCTTAAAATGTGCCTGAAGAAAGTCGATGTAAATTTGGGAGGACCTGCGTGAAAGCACCCAGTATATGTTACATATCAAAATGGTTGTGACACTAATTTGCTGAATGATTATTGTCCGAGCAGTAGTACTTGTCTTACGAATATCGGCAATGAAAATGACAAACAATATCAAAATTTTGTTCATAGAAAATCTCTCTATATTGAACGACAATAGTGAGTTTCATCGAGACAAATCAGAGTTCGAAATGTAGTCAATAATTCAGCGACTTCTTCTTTGGTCACTCATTTTTATTGAATCAGAAGCACGTTTTAAGTTATCCTATGTAGATCTCCATTAGACGATCGACAACGATCTTTTTCCATTGATGTTCAATTAAATAAAAACTTCCTGTTTCGATTGTTAAACGACGCAAATGAGGTTTGTTGGGCGAAAAATTGATCACCATACGCCGTGAACAACACAATTTTTGAAAGGGTTGATGGATGAAACTGGACCAGTGGTAGTCCAATACGTGGATCAGATTCAAGAGTCGTGCGAAGATGTTGAAGATAACCGTCTTCTTGAATATATTCGACAAGTCATTGGAGTGAATCGCGAAGTTCTTCAAATCAAAATCTACTCGATCGAGGATGAGGCGACTGTTAGTTATTCGAAACGGCAATTATTGACGATAATACATGGATTTAACATGGAAACAAGTTAAGCTTGGATAAATGCCAGGTATTGTTGAGTGAGAGAATAAGATCGTCGTTATTGTCACCAGCATGTGACAACAATCAGTTGAGTAGGATTATAATATTCTATCAATCTTGCGTTCAAGTTCTTCTCTTAACAATTCTTTGTGATCAAAAAAATCTTTCGATTTCTGCCACCTTCAATGAGAACCAACACATCAATAAAAAACTTTATTTCTTCGTTGAATCTTGAGAATAGTTTAAAGACATTGATTCAATAGCGAATTCGTTTGAATCATCAATTCGTTCTGTCACTAGTGGATCATTCATATTCATTATGTCTTGTTTTTAAGAGAGGTTTCGCGAGGGTATCACTCAAATTCATAGGGATCATCCGGAGCTGGAATTCAAAATTCGATCTTTCACATTTAGTTTGAAAGGTCCTAGTGTATAAATACACAAGTCAAAAAAATTAGAATCTTAGATTAACGACCTCTTGAGATACGGACGTTGTAAAATACATCAATCTCATCAAACCGTCAAAAATGCACTAGTGTTCTGGGTTCAGTTACGAAATCCGTTTCTCCATTGAAAATTAACCAAGCATATAAATGGCGATTATTCACCATTCTACAGCGCGTCTCAGGCACTACAAACCCATATCTATAAGATACCTTGTTATATCGTTTTTAATCGATGTGAGAATCGAAATATGCAATCGAGTTTACTACAGTCTCTCGGCAATAAACAGTATTTGAAAAAAGTTGCCGTAGGTGTCTGGCTTTAGACATATTTCATCGTTTTTCCAAATCTGAGTCTTTCGAAACAGTCTTAGCTCAAAAATTCACAATTCATGTAGATTCGTAAGTGCTTTGCTGATCAGAAATGGCTATTCATCATATAGGAATTCCGCGTTGGAAATCGGTACATCGAGCGAAAATCAGTATTATTTGACTTGATTCCAAATATATATTCGATTACTCCATATGATGCTGAAAGAAGAATGTTAAAAACTACCTCAAAAATCAGTTTTAGGCGTTTCAAAACGCAGAGCCTGATTTTTGAAAGTAATAAGACAATAAAAAATGTTTTTATTGCATGAGATTATAGCAAAACGTCTGAACTGTACAACATTTCAAGTTAGATGTTTATTTATTCATTTTCGAAGTTCAAAACATTGATTTATATTTTTATGCATCGCTGCGCAAATTGTAATGCCACTTGTTCAATGTAAATGGCTTCGAGCTTGAACAAATTGTGCAATCAATTATGGAAAAATTGTGATTTTTTCTAATTTTGGTAGAATAAGTTCTTCCATCCTCGCTGGAAAATCGTTAGTAACCAGTGAAGAGAATATTGATCTTTCTCCAATGCTGGTTGTTTTGGGTCATTTTTGGATATCGACAAATAAATAAATATCTTTGGAGGAACGTAACCGCATCCAACCTTTCGCCGAGGTTCACCTCGTTCACGTTCAGATTCTCTCCGACATGTGAAATTGTTTTCATGAAGACGTCGTGTATTTTGTTGAAACCATTCAGAGGAGGTATACTTTTCTAACAAGTAGCCACTCCATTGAAATATGATACTTTCAAGTTGATCAAATCGTTCGATAATTTCGATCATCAACTCTTGTGTTTGTACTTTAATTTCAAGTTGTACAATATGTAACAATTCACAACGGAGTTGATCGATGTTTGCAAAATTGATAGTATCATGCGATAAACTTCTCTTTAAATGGAGAGAACGAATATGTGACGGTAGAATAAATGATTGATTCTGTTGTCTCATCGTTAGATGATATAAACGAGGAGTATGCTCAAGTAGATCACGTAGTTGAGATGTCGATATGTGATCAACAGAGGAAACATCGAGAATTCGAACTCGACCAAGATCAACGGTGGATGTCAAAATGTTCAAGTTGAATGATGAAGAGTCCCCAATAAGACGTAATGAGTTCACTTTAGTAAAAGTATAAGTTTGTCGACGGTCCTGTCGTGGAAAATAGCACTCAAGATGATTAATATTGGTATCATAGAATAGCTGTTTTTCCATGTCAGATGATGCTGTCGACAACGGTGGATAGATTTCTGTCAGATATGCAATTGAGTGATGTATAGCGTAAGGCACAGAAAAGATGATTGGACATTTGTTACCCCATTCATTTTTGTAACAGGCAACATACCAATGTTTTTCCTCGAGCCAAAACGATGAACGAAATGGTTCGAGTAATGAAAATTGATCTTGATTGCAAACAAGATTTAGTGAAAGACTGAATTTAAAACTGAATTTGATTAATTCTCTTCTCCTCAGAAATTTTTCCCAACGAACACCATCAAGTAGATCGAGTGTACCGGTTGCTTCGATTGTTAAATGTGTCAATCGTGGTAGATTATTCAGACTTTGCTCGAGTAAATCAAATGATATTTCAATTCCTACAATAGAACAGACAATAACATCTTTCACAAACAAGACCCATTTTACCGCTATGAAATGTGATGTTGAGATGCTTGAGATACATTAAACTCTGACAGAGTTTCTCTAATTTTGATGGAAAATAATGATCATTTTCGTATCGAAGAGAGACCTTAAGACTGATGATTGAAGCTTTAAAATCTTGAATGATCTGACGAAGATGATTAATCAAGCAAAACGAATCGATTGTCAACTGTTTTAGTAGAGGGAATTCAACATTGATTGATTCAATCAATGTCTCATCTTGAATATTCAAATGAGTTAAGACCTTGGCTTGATGAATGAGTATATCACCAATCATATTTTCTCGCCACAACTTGCTCAAACATTTTTTGAACGATAGAGAAGAAACGCATTGTGGCAACTGCGATATACAATTTTCCGTTTTGATGAAGTTTACCGATTGAAGACAAATAAATTGATGTTCGAAGCGTGGAAAATATTTGAGAAAAATTTTAACTTGATCGGGTATTGTTTCTTCGGAAAGAACAATTGAAATAACTTGCTTAGGTTGAATATGATGACAAAGAAAATCCAAGTCTGATCGACAAATCAATTGCAGGTTAAGTCGAAGTGGATACAGATTGAGGATTCGTTGCAGACGACCATTCAGACCAACGAAGCCTCGATAAAGATCGATGGAAGACAAATATTTGAAAATTTCAAAGACAACTTCTGTTGAAAATGATTCAAGACACGAATGCATTTTTAATTCTAAAATGTAACAAGTTCGTGAAAATGATCTACACCTTTACATTAACAACAGAAGGAGAAATAGTTTAACTAATGCGTAGATTTGCTTATCAGTAAGATATCAAGACCAAGCCATCGAGTTGACTTATATTAGTGCGAACTTTTATCTCAATATTAATAACATATTCAAAATAGAAAAATCCTAAGAAAAATACATCGTTTGAAAAAGTTTACTTTTTTTCATTCATTCGATTTGAGTCAAATTTTTATTAGATAAAGTTCAAATTGAAATTGATTGCACAATTTCAGGGTGTAGGTGTGGATGTTGGTACGGGTGGGTGTGGGTGTGGGTGTTAGTTTTCCAGAAACCATATGTACATCCACACCCACACCCTTGGCTCCATTAGTTACAAAATGACCTTGGACAAGTCACTAACGGCTGTTTTGTGTCGGACCACCCATCCGATAACAAACTGACTACGTGGTTGACATGCACTAAAATCCTTGTGGCTAGTATGTGGTTAGTCAGTATGTAAGGGAACTTAAGTGATTAAGCGAAAGAATTCTGAGTTAGGCCAGCCTTCTGTCCAGAGCTATATTTAGTAATAGATGTAGGAAAAATATCGGGCTTCCGAAGCTGTTCTCAGACAGCACCCTATACCACAAGGTAGCCGAGAGGCGGAGTATGCTTCTTCTTCTTCAATTCATTAATTAGTCATATGGATAATAAAGAGAGAAAAAATTAAAAGACTAATATTCATAAAAAGTAAATAAATAATTGAAGAGATGTGACTGAAACCCATGAATTCAGAATGCTTCGAGTGCTTACAAAGAATTCATAAAAATCATCGTATTCTTGGGATTCGTTGAATCCGTTGATTTTTCGAAACTGTGAGAACGTATGTAACATATGATGATCTAGCAAAATTTTGAACATATATTCGCAATGGTGAACTATTCATGGCATGTTACAATATCATTGTTTGTTTTATATTGAAATAACGAATGATATCTTTACACACATCAAGAAATGTGAAAATGAAAGAATAGAAAGTAGCTTACAGAATACGAATAATTGGACATTAAACAGAGGCGACAGATAAATATTCAACAATGCACATATTTCAAAATATAAATGAAGTCATTCTTTTATATATTGATGATTGAAATTAAAGCCTTAATTTAAAAAACGAATGGCAAGAAATAAAAATAAATCATATAACGAAAACAATGGGATGCAAGTTCAATTTGTAGCCTTCTTCAAAAGCAAAAGGTTGCTGTTTCTAAATTTATTTACATGACATAATATTTTAGTTAACAATTGAACACGAAATTCGAAAGGTGACTTTTGTTTACATTTGTGTATCCGAGTTTAGTGACTAAAATGTTGTTCTCGATGTACAATTGACTTATTTTTCAATGTTTGCATTTTGTCTATACTTAATTGTGATTGAAAAGAACAGTGGTTTTATCATTCAAATGAAAACTTCAAAAAAAGATCAACTGTAATCGTTTTATTCCTATTGACATTTTCTGCACCATTTATGAATCTATCAAACAGCTGAGAAAATATATTCATCTACGAAGCTATCATTTTCGTTTGTTTTCTTTTGTAAAATAGTTTGAACGAAAAAAAATTGCCATCATGACGAAACTTTCTTTTTTTTTCGAAAAAGTCAGCATTTCTATTGGTGAAGACTTTTCCGTTTTTAATTCTCTCCCCATTCTACGTTTATTATGTAGATTATTCAATGAATGTTTTTTTGTGACATTTTGCTAAATGATATTACATAAGAAATTGTGAGTTATGCCGGAATATCGAAGCTTTAAGAATTCTTTGCAAAAGTTCTGCTTGGTACGGATTTGAATTTGAAGTCACGTTCGATTTTATACACGAATTCCACCGAATTCGAACAGATCTCGAATCAATCCATAAGACTATTTTACTTCTGACTTGGTAGAAAAGTGTTTAGAATTATTTAATCGTTTGTCGAATATTTTGTTTATTCTTTGTTTCTTTTCTGTTTGATTCGATGATGTTTAATTCTATCAATAGAACGATTGATAACATCGTTAGTAAAACCATCAAAAGGACAATTTGAATAAAATTAATATGTTATGAATTCAATCTTAAATAATATTTCAGAACATCGATCAAGAGTTATTTATGAAATGAAAAGAATGTAGAATAAGCGAAATTGAAATATTTGTCACAAGACACAATCAATGCCAGATTCAATGATATTTGATCAGATGGTCAAAAAAAACATAAACATTACACATGTCGATGTAAATAAAAAAAAAGCACAACAACACTTAAAAAAATTGTGATTTCAAACGAAATCATTTCCGAATGAAAATCAATTACTAATGGGTTGATATCTTTCGTGGAAATAAATTTCATTTTAGTCGAAAGTCATTTCAATATCTGACGTCAAATAATGTCTAATGACAGATTAATTGAGAAATTTAAAAATATAATCGCTTCACTTTGTGTCTTACATTGAATGCTGTTTATTCTATGAAATTCTTTTACAAATTTATGAAATAATGTTGTGTAGAAATTTTTCAGGTTTGAATCCGAAACATTCGAATATTGACTTGCAAAGTTATAGAACTATCATTAGACTGAAGTTTTACACCGTATAAATATGTGATATGGTCAGGGTGGGGTATGGGTGTGGGTGTGGGTATCTGTTTATCTTTTCTTCATCTAGACCTGCACCTACAGCCGCACTCGCACCCACACCCACACCCCACCCACACCCGTGTGAGTGAGGCCATAATCTTTCTTTACAATCATACTCAAACTCTTAAAATGTGTCGAAACACCTTTTATCACTTAAGATCATTGCATTTAAATGTTTTTGACTTTATGAACGGGATGAAAATCCTGGAAGCTGTGGTTTAAATGACTAAAAAAACATGAATTCACTAAAACACTTACATAGTTTACTGCGTTGTGGAATGAGACACCATATAAAAATACGCTATCCGCTTCGTTCAAAAGTTCAAGCAGCTACTGAAATAGGTACGATTCGCGTGACGACAGTTGAAAAATATAATCTGTATATATATATGTATCTTATCTATTCTGTTCGACTTGGAATCCCCTCGGTGTGGGTGGGAGTGTAGGGGTGTCGGTGTGGGATTTGGTTGTGGGTATGGATGGTGGTGGGTGTCCGAGTGTTTTCAACATCATCTACACACACATCCACACCCACGCTCACACTCTCATTAACAAGTTCGTATAAGATGAGGAACACAAAGATTCGTAGAAAGACATCCGCATCTCTTCGTGTGCATTTTATAAGAACCGTACTTAATTCAAGCGACGGCCGACTCATGGTTTCCTTGACTACTTTTGTTTGACAAAATAGAGTCTCGTTGTTGCCTACTTTTTTGTCTTCTTCTGCCTAGTAAAGGGAAGATAAAAAGCTTGAGATATCTATATTGACGAAGATAAGCGTTTTAAAGAAAAACATTTATCAATGCAAGCGATAAGCATGTGACAAATTCTCAAGGTAAGTAGAAAAAGACGTCGTCAATGTAGCAAACAACAATGAACACCCAAACGGGAAAAAGTTGACTCCGCACAATAGGATCGCCTGGAATCATTCAGAATCATTGTTTATTTCATTTGATATTCTGAATTTGTAGATCTAAAGTTGATACAACCCAAGAAAGAAACAACTGATTCCATGAGCTCCATTTACTC